CCCTATTTGTGAGGAGCCCTTTTTGTTGTCCTTCATAGTACTGGCCAGCTTGAACTCCTACTCAAGTTTTGGCTGCACAAATTTTTTCCGTACAGCGGTGAACAGCATCTCTGTAGTCCTCCCGTGTCCCCTGTTCTTGCTTCCGGTGTCCATACCCTTTCCTTTTCCTCCTGAGTTCTAGAAGAAGATCCCTGCTTACCTAAGCCAGCCTTCTGCCCCGCTTGCTTGACGTCCTACACTTTGGAATTGCCTGCTTTCAAGCCCTTAAGAGAAGACTTTTACAAAATGACCAGTATTTGTGGACCCCAATACCTTCAGTGTTGTCAGTTTGCCTTCTAAAATGGCTGTTGCAGTTCCAGCTTTTCTTAAATCATGTCGAGGTTTGCTCTCCTGTAACTCTTTTAAGACCAATGTCTCTAGAAACCATATATTCAATAACATAGTAAACTTGAGTTGTAGTCATGTTTGATTCTGGAGTTAGATCACATTTAAAATGCAAATTTGTTTTCATTATGCACTGTTTACAGCAGGTAATAGTTGACACTTGCTAATACCCGAGATTGAATACAAGAGGTTGAAAAGCCAGAGCATACTGGTATTTGATGTTAGCTGCACGCACTGTCTTGTACTTGGCCCTTAAGTGCTCTAGGCTTGAGAGCCATTGCTGAAACTTAATTTCTACACCTCCATCCTCGACCCAGTTCACTTAACTGATTTTTCATCTTTTTTGCATTGTTAGAATGAAAATAAACTTAAGTTCTTTCGACTCGCTGCTGCCAAACATCAGCACTTATATCGTCTTGCCATGACTGGTGCTGGCATTGACCGCCATCTGTTCTGCCTTTATGTCGTGTCCAAGTACCTTGCTGTAGATTCTCCTTTCCTTAAGGAAGTAAGTGACTTTTATTGATGACTACTCATTAGAGTAAATAATTCTTTGTTTACTTAATGTTTTGTGGTATCTGCTTGCATACTTGTAGAACTCTGGGTTTCCTAAGGAAAGAGGTAAATCAGCATTGCTTAACATCTGCTGGTAGATTACAAGTTAGTTTCATTTTGCTTTATGTATGCACTTATTAATAGACCTATAATAATGCTTTCTGTGGGATTTGTAGTATAATACATGTTATTAAGGATTGCAAGAAAGATATAGTCACTGTTATAAAAAAATAAAATACTGGTTGCTTATGGTTTTTACATATTTTCAAGGCAGCACAACAGAGGCTGTGTGTTTTCTCAAGAATGTTATTTTGGAATTGTGACAAAATCACTTTCCTTTAAGTTACTGTGAGTTAAAGGAGCTGTATATTGTGCTTTATTTTTTTTTAATGTACATTAATGTCATTGTTTATTACCGTGACCAATATTTTATTACTTAAGCTAGATTTTAAGGTTGAGTTTTATAAAAGTAATTATATTGCACTTGCTTATGTCTTCTGATTAGCGAAAAACATGTTCCAGCTTGCCTCCAAATTAAGCTACTCACATTTGTCTGCTTGCTCTCCTAAATATGAGTAGTGGCTAAGTCAAGAATAAAACAACTTGCCTCACCTTCTGCAGACTTTCAAGATACTTGTGTATTTAGAGATTTTACAAGCTTCTAACCTGATGCAGTATCGTACTGGAATTTGAATATGGCCAGTAATGATCTTGTTGTTAACAAGACCTATTATGCAGAATTTACCAGGCTATAGACCAGATTAATCTGTTTTGAAATAGCATTTCTATTGAAAACTGTTATTCTCTTTGAGGAATTGACATCACGACCTCACGTGTTTAAAGGTTTGCATATCAGGACAAGTTTAGCTCTTTCTTTTAACCTTCTTAGTTGTTGATTCCATTGAAATGTGAACTGAAGTTATCCTTAATATTGCTTTATCGAATGCTTTCTAACTTATCTTAACCGCTTTTTTTAGGAAGTTGCGTGTTCTTAAACAGTCTGTTATACTTGTTCGCATCTCTTCCGTATCTAATAAAGGTTTTGTCAGAGCCTTGGAGGCTGTCAACGAGTCAGACACCACAGCAACACATTGATCTAAAGAAGAACCCTGAGATGTTATCCTGTGGCGGAGGATTTGGACCGGTATGTTTACTAAACACAAGTACCCCTTTAAAAACAATTTTCTTCCGAGTATGCCAGTCTAAACATTTCAGATATGTAATAATGTTGCACATCAAAGGTGCAATACGTGCTTTTAAATGCATGTGTTTAATGCTTTCCCACGACATGGACGTGCTCAGAAAAATCTGCATCGCCTTTTTCTCATATCCCACTACAAGAGTGGATTATTCTTAAGGAAATACACAGTTATCAAATGTGATACAGGGCTCCATGACAGAGAGATCTAATAAAGTGGGGGCTTTTATCACATTACCTATGCCCAGAGCTTCTGTACAGCAGGCTATTATTACAGTGACAAATGCCTTATTACTTAAACTAGATTTTAAGGTTGGGATTTGTAAAAGTAATTATACTTGACTTGTTCTTTATATTTCCTGATTAATTAAAAAATATGTTCCTGCCTTCCTCCAGATTAAGCTTGCCCTTGTAAGTGTGAATAGCGGCTAAGTCAGGAATAAAACCGTGTTCTACAGCTTCTGTAGACTTTCAAGAAACTGGTGTATTGTTAGAGACAAGCTTCTGGCTTGCTGTAGTATTTTACCGGGATTTGAACAGGGCCATTGATGATGATACTGTTGTTAACAAGATCTGTTATACAGACTTTATGGGGCTATAGACTAGATTAATCTGTTTTCAAAAAACGTTTCTATTAAAAAAAAAAAACAAAACACAAAACTAAACAAAACAAAACAAACCCCACAATGAGAGGGATTACAGGACTGCTCTTTGCCATACAGAAATTAGGATAAGTGCAGTGTATTTTGGCTGGTTTGTCAAGCTGGAAGTTGTTCTTTTTGTGGTTTGGTTTGTGGGGTTTTTTTAGTATTTATTTAGTCATGTTTCTGATACAGCTTTCAGTAGTTCTTGAAGTTCGAATGAGTTTAAATTGCAGTATCAAGGAAGCTTAGCAATTGCAATGCTGCTCGATCATGAGAAATTGGCTTGCTCCAGCAGATTATGAAGTCAGTTTTTAGAATCCCCAAAAAGGTGTGATGTGGCACTAAAATATGTTTTTGGCTGCAGGAATTTCTAACGCTTTTTTCCTTTTGTATTTGCTAATGCTACGTTACCTGCTCTCTTCTTACTATTTCTTCATTCCTTTAATTTCCTTCCTTCAATTGTCTGCCTTTCCAAATAATCTTGCGTATTTTTCCATTTGTCATTTCTTGTATCCTTACAAAAACTGTGCTTTGGTTTGCTGAAGTAGCCCAGAGACTCAGTACATCAGGCTTTCTATGTGTGCGTTGTCTGTTGGTTTTGGGTTGGGTTTTTTTTAAGCATTCTGTAGAATATAGCCCTGTAGCAGTAATGGAGAGAAGACTGTCAGGCTGCTTGGCAGCAAAGAGCTTGAAGGTAGTGATCCTTCGAGTTAGGAAAGAGAGGAAGGAGGGTGGCAGCGGGATAGTCTGTGTTTACGAGGCATACTTTAAATGTAACATCAGACTGAAACTTGGGACAGTTATTGCTGCTGATGTTGAAATCGGACCGGAGCTCTGCTCATGATACGGGTGTTCAGAATCATAGCTTTGCTGTAGAGTCAGATGACCTTGTCTTTGGGCAGGTTTTCATAATACAGGGCTTGTATACTCTGTATTTATACAACGTATTTGTTTGCATCTGCAGAGTGATCCCATGAAACAGGGTGTTTAGGTATACAGCTGAACTATTTATTCCTTTCTACTTAAGCACTGAAGCTGTATAGCTTAGGACCAGACCTTGATAGGAGAAGGTCTTTGGACAAGTACTCTATTTGAAAATACTAAAGCTGGGAAATATTGCAGACATATATTCAGAAAATGTTAATTCCATGCACTTCAGATGAGAATAGAACTGTTTCCTTAAGTGGAATCAGTCTTCAGAAATGATGCATAAAATGTGGAAGCTTAAGTTTTGCTTGAGGAGAAATTGCAACTAATTTTAAAAACCGCATAGTAAGAACTGTGTAATCATGTATAAGATAATTTAGGAATGGAAGGAAAAAGAAAAACTTCAGAACTTGTTTTTCTCTTCCTTCTTCCCCTAGGTGGCTGATGATGGTTATGGTGTTTCTTACATTATCTTGGATGAAAATTCCATCCATTTCCATGTCTCCAGCAAAATATCTTGTTCTGAGACGGTAAGAGTCAGTCCTTTCCTATGGTTTAATAGATTTGTTCTGATATCTGCTTATAAAACTGTTCTACTTGCTGTCTAAAAAAATCCGGTAGGTCTTGCAACATAGAGTTCTAATGTGTTTTTTATTTCTCGACATAGGCTGTTTTGTTGGAGGGTGTTTTTTTTTGTCTCCACTCCTATACATTTAATAGCTTTATGAACCAAGGAAAACATGTTCTGTTTCACTTCTGTTTTCGAGCATAAAGAAAACCTGTGGCCCAAGGTCATCTTTGCACATGTGTAGGTCCCTGGAACTCGTGTAAAATGACTTATATCTGCCCCATAAACAGTAAGATGGATGTCTCCTGGTTTTTGTTATTACAGTTTTGCATTGATTTTTCTCTGGCTGCAGTTGTAAAGACAGAGTAAAATGTAAGCTCCCTATTCTTTAAATCTTCTTGGTTTAAATAATACTGAAAGAAGCTAGCCCGTATGTTGTAGTCTGTGCTGAAGAAACATAATTAACAAAAAATTTACTAGAATAACACCCATTATTACAACGTAGTAGATGTCATCTGTTCAATATCCTGCTGTTGTGGAGGCCTGCTTTGAATGAGCTTCAATTCATCAGTCCCCTTTAGATTTTTATGACTTTAATAAACAAGCTGAGTTTGTTCAGGATTACATAGCTGAACTAGTTTTCCTCTTTTGACCTTAACTTGTCCAAGAGATCTTGGTGCCTTTGGTTAATCATTAAAAATTAGGGAATACAACTTTGTTTTTTCATGGTTCAAATTGTTCTTCGGATGGCTGTTAGCCTGTACTCTAAATTTCCCTGTGTTTTTTACTTATTAGTGAAGTCTAGGTCCATACAGAAAAGGCAGCATTTTATGTGCGTGGCCTTGATATTAGTCGGGTCTTTTGTAGTAGGTCCTGTAATATAGCTAATAATTTATATTTGTAATCTTAACTTCTTCCTTGTACCGTTCATCTGACACTTAGAATAAACAGAACGAGTTCATGGTTTGTTTACACTTAGATAATTGTGATTTTCATTTTCAATAATTCATGTAATTTTTCAATGGCAAACAATTTAGGATTCTGATAGGAACTCAAATACAAAATGTTTTTCTGCTCTTTCAGAACTTCCCAGGTCATTAGTCATACACTTTCGGAACGTTCTTTTGTTTTCTGAAATCAGCTTTTACAAAATCTTGTATTAAAAAACCAATACCAAAACACAGCTATTTTTAAGTAATAGAAAGCTATAGATGCGTCTGATTTCAAAAGGAGATGATGTCAGTTCTGTCCGTAGGAAAGTAAATGCATAATGAAGAGCTCATTAGTCAGTAATAGCATAAACCTGAGTTAATTTGTATAGCATTAAAATTTTTGTGGTTTAAATTCCCCATTTTATGGTCAAATACTTGCCCCAATTCCGTAAGCTCTGAAATTACAAAATGTTAAAAGGTTCCTTCTTTTACCTGAAAGATAACTGTTGATTGACAGTACGAGTCTTTGGTTTTGTTTTGTTTGTTTGTTTGTTTTTAAAGGATTCTTCTCGTTTTGGAAGAAACCTCCAAAAAGCACTGGTTGACATCATGGGTTTATTTAACCTTAGTAAAAACTGTACCAAGTGATTCTCCTTGTTTGGTGCCAAGCAATCTCCTGTTGTTGGGATGAGAACTCTTCTGCACAGTGAATGAGAGCAAAGTTTGTCAAACAGTAGCTGGTGAAGAAACTTGAGTCAACATCTTCTTGATCACCTGTGAAAACCTTGAAAACCTTAGCAGTGCATCAAATGTTTTTGTTGTTTTTTTTTTTTTCTCTCTCTCCTCCCCCGTAGTTTGTGGAAATAAACTCTTCCAAAGGATGACTTTTGAAATCTTGTATGTAGGGACGAAGTATAGCATCATTGCATGAAGTCATGTATATTCTAACTCCTGCAGTTTTCTCTTAGTTTGTATACACTTGCTCTTTTTTTACTTAAAATTAGTCTACTTGTATTCCAGAATCAAAGGGATAAAACACACCATCTTAAGCTCAAATACTAGAAAAAGTTCAATTTGCTATGTATTTATAGCAGAATGTTCTTCAATATATCTGCTGCTTTATGTCAATGATTGACAAAACTTACGGCTGTTTACCTTCATTGTTTTTTTTTTTAAAGGTAATTTCTGTAAAACATAAGAAGATCCTTGACATAACCCACTGTAACATACCAAGTTGTAGAAATTTTTGGGCTTTTGGGAAAAAAAAAAAAAGGGTAATGCTACATTGAGTAGTAAAATGTGTCACCTAATTAGCAGGTATCACACTTTTCTTAACAAACATGTTTGCCACATCGTTGATTTTTATCTCTGTATAAATAAATGAACCTTTGTGCTTGTTCATGTGAGTGCCTTAGAAAAAGAGAGAGCCTAAACCCTGGAAAGAAGCTTATGCTGGGAGTTGGTTTTACATTGTCTTAGCAGTGAAGGAGGTGAAGTAGTAGTAATGCAGATCTAGTTTTCAAGTTACCGGTTAGGTTGATGTGGCATAAGTAGGCTTGAATATGTTGCCATGTGGTGCAGTTACAGGCTTAAAGCCCTAACGAAATGCTCCCAGCTTAAGTGCAGAGATCAGATCCTGTGAAATGCAGGAGTAACTTTGTTTCAGAGCTACAGCTACTCCTGCGTTTATTTTGGTGAATGTTATTGGTGGTCGTTTGAGAGAAGAGTAAATGTCCATTTAGTTAAATGCAACCTCTTGGATAGTGGAGGATGCGGGGCTGCCTGTGGGAAGCAATCGTTTGCACTTTGCCTGCTTGCAGCTGGGGAAGACCACTACGCCATTGCCAACCACCTGCACGAGAAGGGCGAACTATTAAAGCTGGGGAAAATAGCTCCGGAATGGGAACGTCTTGACCTTCTCAAACCCCTCCTGAGAGATGCTCTCAGTCAAGTAGAGTTTCTGAAAGGTAGAAGGAGGGAAAAGCTATTTCACTCAAAAAGGAGCATGATGTTTCCAAGTGCAGGAATAAAATGGCTGCTACAAAAAGGGAGTAACTTTGTGGGTGATGCTTCTCCTCCCCAGGCTTTATAGGTGTGGTTACTTTTTTACATCCTGCGGCGCAGTAAAGCGTACCTGTTAGCGCAACAGTTTTTTGGTTAGTTTTTTTTTTTTATGTAAGGTACATGGTGTTTAGTAACACAGTGAGTGCTGCTCCAGAGCTATGCTGATTTTAAAAGGCCTTTGGGGTTGATAAAAACCTTCTCATTAGACTTTGAAAGTTTTCTGGCCAGTATTTCTAACTTTCTGTGCCTCTTCGTGTTTGTTTGTTTGTTGGGACTCTCATCTAGCTGTTAAAACACCTATATGTGTATGTTTGAAGTGGGAAACCTCAAAGATCCCAGATGCATACTGAAGCAAAGGCATGCTTGCGTAAATTTAGGAAGCCTCACAGGAGTTAGCCAAAGACACTCATTATTTGATTAGGGTACAGGGTGTGGGAAAGGACACTTTGAAATAAGCCTTACTGCAGCTGGCAGGCCTGGCATTTATCAAACCACAACAATTTTATAGTCATCTACTTCTTCTGGAGCTGCAGAAATAATGCACTGTTTGGTTTGTTGTGTTTTGGTTTTTGTTTTTTGCTTTTTTTTGGTTGACCACTGACCAATCTGTGCTTAAATTAACATTAGGGCGTACTAGCTTGTAGGATTTTCTTTTTTTTTTTTTAAAAAAAAAGCCTAGATCTGACTCTCAGGTTTTAAATGTTTCAAGTCTAATTGTAGTTAGTGCAGTTATCAATGCAATTTTACATTCTTAGAGGGTAAATATAATTGGCACAGAAAGCTGGTTTTTATTGTAAATGTTTTGAACATTTTGTGGTGTTAAATGTGTCTTTTTTTTAATTTGGGATAGATCATAATTCCTAAACAGATAAGATTTTATTTTATTTCATTTTCTTTAAAGTGTCATCAGCATGTAAATAAAATACGCTTTTTGAATGTAAATCTTAGAAATCCACAGTGAATGCAGATAATTAATAAATAACTAATTTAAATCTTGATGTTCAATTTTGTGTAAATACAGCAAAACTGCTTACTTTTTTCCTCAAAAGCCATAGGAATGTAACTGAAATTACCTAGATTTGGATGAACCTTCTAGCACAATGTACTTTATAATAAAGGAAAATGTTCATATTCCAGAAAAACTACTAATTTGTTACTAAAACCTTGAATCACTTATTCTCGGTGATTTAAGAGCTCAAAGTTAGGGTTGAGTAGGTGGTAAAAGTCAGGTTGGGTGATAATAAATTGACCTGTTTATTAAATAGCCGTGTAGAATTGGTGGAATACCTCAAATTTACGTTTTCCAAATTCCTTATTTCAGCTATTTCATGCCAGAAATTAGGAGAGCATTAAGTGCCTTTAGAGGCTACAGTTGTCCAGGATTAACATAATTCCAAACTAAATATTCTTTTAAGGGTTGGGTTTTCTGAGGGACTAAGGAAATGTGTGCCTGACCCTGAAAATCATGGTTCTAATTCAGCCTTTGTACCAATTGTTTTCTCATATAAAATATATTCGTTTAAGCTAGATTTTTTTTTTATCTTGTTCAATTGCTCTATATCTGTGTTTGGTTATTTACATCCAATGCTTTGTCTCGTATTTTCTACCCTCCTCTGACTTCAAAAATAAAATAAAATTTCACAATTACCACTACTTATGTTTAATATCTTTTGTATCTTCTTCCCAGCTCGCTTGCTGCTGTTTCTGGACTTATGAAATCATTGCTATTAAATCCAGTTAGGAATGGTAATAGCAGACAATTCAGTTTATTTTAGCAGTGATTTATACATGTCGTGCTATGCGTTAATGAACAATACTTCTTTTTTAGGTTCAGTAGAAAGAAGAAACAACGTAGGTCTTGCTTTAGGTGAGGTTTTTTTTCCTGAGAACTGCTGGAGTGTTCCTGTGAAACAGTCTGTCCACAAGGTAGTGGGTAGCACTGGTTTGATCTTTACAGTGAATAATCCATGGACTATGAATGGTAAGGCAGTGGAGAACTGATTCAAGCACAGAAAGTTAACATCGTTAAAATGTTATTTGCGTTATCTGAAGTGATAACTCCTTTGAAATAACGTTAAAACTGAGGACTACCTTGAGAGACTTGAAGAGGATTTTTTTATTTTTTTTTTTTTTTTTTTACCCTTTGAAGATTCGCATGCTGGTTTTTTTTGAATTGCTGTTTAACACAAACAAAACCCCACCAAACAACAAAAACCAACCACACACACGAATCACCGGATAGTTTTGTGTGACAGAGCATTTTCACAGTCATTTAGCTTGCTGCCTTTCTGGATGTTGCAGCCTTCCCTACATGAAAGAACACAGTGATTTCAATTTCACACTTCATCTCTTAGGTGTTGTTAGGTCCTGGTTGTATTTCAAACATCTCCCACCAAGGCTGGATACTGAAATTGTAAATTGGTATGTTCAATCTGAACAGAAGTGCTCGGTGGAAACTTTGTAGGCACAGAAAATACTGATTTATTTGGGCGGTTTTTCCCCTCTTTTCCCTTCGCCTGTTTTTAAGGGTGGCAGGTATAAGATGCATCTTATACTCAGAAAATGTTGCTGTAGTTGTACGTGATGCGTGGGATTAATCGGCTCTGGCTGAGATGAATGAACTCCTCTTGGGAAGTGCTGGAATCCCAAACTTGGCTGTTAGACGAAACCTTTGAGAGGGGAAGAGAAAGTATGGGGTTGGGTTGGGTTGGGTTGGTCTGTTCTGGTTTTCCCCAGCTTTCACAGCTGCAGACCCAGGGCTGGTGGAGTAGAATTTTGTAAGCAAAATGAAAAATTGATTCTGGTTTCTTCTTCGGTTAATTGTATGGAATCATTATGGTTGGAAGAGACCTCAAAGAGCATCAAGTCCAACCGTATGGCACCTTATGCACGAAAGGCGGCTTGAAATTGTTTTGGGTCTTTTTAGTTGCTGTAGTTTGTGTTCGTTTTTTTTTTTTTTTTTTTAGGAAATTCTGTGTTAAGAAATGAAGACGTCAGTCTATAAAAGGGAAAGTTCAGGTTCGATTCCTGCTTTCAAGGAAGCCCTCCTTTACCGTAGATGGCCCTGGGTGGCAGCCTGGCGGGTTTAGACCCTTCCGCGTGGATGGTAACAAGGGAGTGGGTTCTGGGCCGCCTTTGACCCCTCGCCATGCGGGGTAATTGCGGGGGCAGCCGTC